CGGAGCTGTCGTCGTTTTTGGTGGCCTAGTCGACCCGACGGCGGCTTGCATCACATGATCCGCGAACTAGAAACAAACAACAATACTTTCACCAAATTGTAAGCTGAATTGTTTCCGCATAAATAAAGTGTACATATAGTATATGTATAAGTATAACCTGTTTACATACATACTGTGTTAATACAGTGCGTATGGGCATGCGGTATGCACAATAGCATTTTACGAAAATACGCTGTCAAGCGTACAGATATTCATAAGTGGTTTTTTCACAATACAGCGGCAAAGGCAAAATAAAAAAGTAGGGCGAACTTACTTTAGCTTTAACATGTCGAGTTCCGTTTCCCAGATTGTCATCCCGAACATCTGCGAGAACGCTTTGTTGAATAACAAGCAGAGCCAGACAAAGTGCAAATATCAGAATATGCATTGTGTATGTAAACGACGTTTAATCACCTTTAACGATTTATGATATTTGGGAGCAAACACAGACGATAAAAGAGCTTGAGTCTATGATAAAGTCACTATTAACAACGGCATTTGGAGATAGTTTATGTACCATACGCTTTTTAGAGGCTCAACTGGAAATAATTGGAAATATTGGAATTGTGCAAGGAAAATGGTGGTGGTTAAGCCCGCTTCAGCAACTTTGGCGCCCATGCACTTGACAAGCATTAGCGCAATACCATCCATTCGTAAAATTAATGCCATGTGGACAACAACAGCCGGCAATTTTTGCAATGCCAGCAACCGAGAAACCTCGGGAGCAGTGTCAGTTTTCGATAAAACACTTAGTTTTCGAAACGCGCAGCATGTGGTACGTGTTCGCAATTTGGGATCTTATTAAGAGCAAAAGCGGGACGAAACTTTATAATCACTTATTTCTGTTGTATATGTGGGAACAGTACCGCTTTATTTGTGAATCGTAGCTAGACAAAATAGCATGTAATTTTGCTGACACTGTTTGTCAGCAACAATACGGACAGCGTCGCTAGGACAAACGCGCGTCCTTTGTACAAGGTGGAGGCATATCCCACCGCTTCCCAAGTTCCAACCCATAGTTTTGCAAACTTCAAAACGATAACATAATAACAAATTCACTGGAGCCTATGTCCTTGAATTAACTGCAGAGGCAACATACATAAATGGCATTTTGTTTGAAATACGTAGTAAGTACCATTAGGTTAGGAATATTTATGGAAATTATATGAAAATAGTTCTGATGCAAACAGGTGTGGCGGAAACTATCTGTAAGCAACAAGTGAAAATAAATCCATTTCGTACTTGGCAGAAGACACAGTTAACAGATTTCATTTTCACTACCGGAAATGGTAGAACTCTGTACACGGAGTTAAAAGGTAGTAGAAAAGATAGCGAGCCGATTGAACGGTTGTGAACGGAGGGTCACAACAGATCCAAACTGTAACGCGATAACTTTACATGTGCTATTACTTTTTTAGCCCGGTGACGATAAACGGTAATGCAGCCAAATTTATTTTATACAGTGAACTGTGTCATTTGATCTTGTGCAGTACTTATGCATTAGGAAACCGGATCGGGATGCCCAAGGATGCTACATCCTCAGTGTTGCAAGGATATCGCGAGTGCTTTCTTAATAACGGTCAGACACTGAACGATAAACTGGAAACGGAATCCAGCAAATAAAAGCGAGCTTTCGAGCAACAAACTGCCGTAGCACGCGAGCTCCGTCTCGACCAGTGGGCTCCAGTGGGTTTCATTTTCACAGGACGCGCAGACGAGTGCGTACAGTGCATGATGCTGGCTATTGTAGCTTGCAGTGCACCCTTATTCTATCATCTAGACACTGGACAGATTCCCCGCGAAATGGTTGCAGGACGATGTTTCCATTCTTGATACGTACTAGTACACTGAGCTGTACTGAATGTCTGAAGGCGGATAAGGGAAGTAACCTGGTACCAATGTTGCTTTACTTGGTAAACAGTAAGTAAACCGGCAGTAAACAGTAGCCTAATATTAAACAGTAAATAAACATTTAAGTTTTTTGGGAACAGTAAAAGTAAAAGTAAGTAAAGATTTCAGGGCGGCTTTAAGCGCTGGAGCTGCTTTATTTTGATCTAAATCCGAAACTTTTGGATTTCTGCTGCATCAAATGCCGCGGAAAGTGCGGCTGATGTGTGCGCTGGTGTGGGTTCTTTCAGGATGTTCCTCTTCGATTTCTGGTAACTGAATGCGATGATGTTACCTAAATCCGGTGGTGTATAGCCGCTGTGCAAAACACCGCAAATTAGTCGTGCAATAAAACATGCAGTTGAAATGTTTGGAATCTCAAATTGTTAAATTTTAATTTTATACTGCAAGCGAACCGTACGTACAAGACAGAATGATAACTGGTTGCGTAAAGGTACAGCGAAGAATGCAGATTCATGTGTTAAGCTAAGTGTGTAGTGCTGCTGCTGACAATTAAGCGCCAATACTGCACTACTGTACCTGCATCTTTACGCGATCAATTGTGGATCCGGCTTGTAAGTTGTAGCCGCTAGACGAAATTGCACCACAGCGTCTGATATACGGTAAACTATACACACGTTGCGCGACGTTTTACCTAACTTTTGCGACTGTGCGCTGCCCGGCAGGGTGCACAGTGTACACAGCCGCCGGATCAGAAAGCGGTGCAGTTTCGTCTAACGGCTACAGTAGGTCAGATGCGCTCCGTATTCGCACAACAATAATTTTAAACTTTAAGAAACAACTTTTGGGAGAATGGTGCTTTCCAATAGCATAAACGGACTGTGGAGCCCTCAACGGAGCAGTGTGCGTTGGACGATAGTCCCACAGGCTTTGTCTGCAAATGCAAACCTGACTACGAAAGCTACAACGCCAGCGGCGGCCCGGTAGGGGGCGAATAAAATCTTGCATGAAGCATTTTGTTTTGGACTATTTGGACACTCAGTTATCGTGAGAGCCGAAATTTGTTTCTAGGATGTAGTTCGAGTTGCCCTTTGTAAATAAGCCTAATAAATTGAGGCGCTTTTGCAAAGCGTCCTGTGTACAAACAGCGGTTCGGTCCAATCTACTGTTATTTAAGCTATATTTCAGCTCCACGATTCATTCCGAAGCCAAATAGTCAGTTGGAAATAGCCACCCATAATTTTTTTACAAGGCTTGCGTTTTCCAGTTTGGAACAAGCAGCTTGCGACGTTGCAGGGCTAAACTTGATTCCTCTATTATGCATCTTGAAGCAGCAGATTGTCAAATTGACGAAGATTGTCGCCAGTACTCTCCTGTGGCAAAATGCGCAGCACCTCTCCAAGATGGAATCCCTGGTAAATGCGCATGCGCAAAAGGTTTTTCTGCTGACGGCAAGGCATGCCAAGGTAATGAACCAGGAAACCGGGGTTTCGGAAACCATTTAAAATATTATCTGTAATAACAAATAGGTTTTGTATCTTCAGCTGTTGAGTAAACGGTTTTTCCAAAACTTTACCTATACTAGAAAGGCTTTGCAAACGGTAACGCAGTTGGTTCTTCTTCAGAGATGCCCGGATGCGAAATGGGTTCCTCTATGTGTGCCCAACACTTTGGCTGCAACGCTGTTTGTACAATGCAGGAACTGAAGTTCCAGTGCTCGTGCAGGCTGCGTACATACCTGTTCCCGGACGATTTCCGTAGAAAAATTTGTTTGGGTAGGTAAAACTTTAAAAAAAACTGCCATGTCTACAGAAACAGATTATATTGACCTGGGATAAACGCAGACTGGAGGAGTTTAGAGTGCATTAACTATTGTCCGTCACCACTCCGCTGCAACCACGAAACTAAACGATGTGATTGTGGAGGGAATCGGTTTCCAGGCCCCACGCTGGTAATCCCAGCGTTCTAGAATGCCAGTGTAAGCGTAAATACATTACGACTGGAGTGTTAGAATTATATACTGTTACGTATACAACTTGGAGATCAATATGCTCACGCCCAGTTACGGCGGACGTTTTCTCAGTCCTCCTCAGCATGCAATGTTAACTGCCGCATCTCGGACCTTCTGGTTTCTGGTCAGAGCCGGCTGATTAATGAAATCGAAGTTTCTTTTTAGTCCACCGTCTGTACATTTCACTGTGGAATACGGTATTTCAAGAGGTTGACACACACAGACACGTAAATAATAAGTTTCTACAATCCAGTGGAAAAAGAATGTTGGCCAACTTTCGAAAGAGATTACTGCGTTTTATCTAGTGGTGTTTTGAACCTCAGTAAACGGCTAAGAGCAATCGTGTCTCCCATAGATCCGAGCCAAATCACCGCACAAGTGCTGGACGTTTGCGAACCCACTCTGAACAACACTGATTGTCCTTCAGATTCTGAATGCGTTTCACGGGATATCTTCCGTCATGCCTGTCCAAACCATATTATCGGAGCCTGCGAATAAACAACCGATTAGTGTGCAGAAGTAAGACAAAATGACTCCCATTTCTCAACTTCTTACACAATGCAAAGTGATAAATATTATACAGTGGCTGAACAAAACTGAATTTACCGTAAAGCAAGCGTAACCGATTTTTTACTGGGTGGTCGGGTAGCGCTCTAATTTCGCCCGATGCTTCAACATAGAGAGGGCGTACCATCACAGATTAGTACATGCTCTGTATGCTGCAGCGACCATCTGTCTCCGACCACCTATCAAAAAACCGGTTACGCTTGCTTACAGTAAAGTCGATTTCGTTCAGCCACTGTCTGATTTTAATCACTCTGCAGATAGCAGCAATACAATTTTTACAATAGCAGCCGGCACGAGTACTTACATCAGTGCCATGGTAGTGCAGTACAGCAACGGAAACCAACCGGCATGGCAGTTAACAGTGAATATACAGACTACAGACACATTTAATGCAAAAGCATGCCAGTTCCAAGATTCCTGTTTGAATGACTCATGAGCTGTATGCGGCAGTATACCTCGAGGGAAATTTTGACGGTAAGAATATTATAACATTTCCGCGTCGCAAAATACTGCCAGAAGTGATTTCCTTATCGTACAACCTGCAAAGTGTTCGTTCTAGTGCGATCAGTAGTGCAAACATTCATAGTTCCGCCTGCTAACTGAAGATTAAGCTACTCCATTAAAAATAAAATTTGCTGTTTTGGCTCGATGTTGTAAAGGCGCTGTAGTGAAGCCTTTGTGTTTATTAGAATGTACTGTATTAGATTTTCGCAAAGTACAATGCAGAAACATTTGATTTTTACGCTGAACTGTGTTCTTTTGGCCTGCTCCACCGCGACTGAATCAAGTAATCGAACATGTATCCAGCAACTGCGATCGCTAATTCGCTTCACTTCTTTTCAGAAATCAACTGCAAATCAAAGTGTATGTACTTTAACATGCTTTCGATTTCTATAGGTCTGAACGAAAGCCTGGAAACCGAATGTACTACCGAAGAGCGAAGTGTCGAACCGATCGCCATCAATCCCGAACCATATATCCCGGGCGGTTTCCGCACCGACCCGATAAGCTCTTCGGAATGCAGACAGCTCGCCATGCGGAGATTCAGAAGCAACAGTATGTGCTTTCCCATGTGGCCTTTTTCTGTGGCTGACTGCGGAGCGCCCAAAGTCCCGGATTACCCTGTGACCTACGATACGGTTCTTCAACTGAACTGCATATCCGACGAAAGCAGCATTATAGCTGCGGCTGTATCGAATATAAGCCACATAAGCCCCAGACGTGCTGTCATCCTGGGGCTCAGCGACGGCAACGGTACCATGAATACATTACAAGCCAGTATCGTCGGATCCATTCGGCAGCAGTTAATCGCCTTGGGCGTCGTCGGCGCGGCCACGCCCTACACCACCGCCAGGATCTACCGCGTGGGAGATTTAGTAAACCTATTGCAACTCCAGATAAGCTCTTCCTCGGGATTGATCGTCCACAAGCAGGATTTTCATCGGATGCCGCGTATCCGACAAATTAGTTTCGAATCAGCAAGCATACGCTTCTTGGAGCCGTATACCTTCACCACATTACCGCACCTGCGCAGTTTAGTGCTGGATGGCGGCATCAGCTGGTATTGGATAGATCGTAATTACTTTATGAAAAACGTGAAACCGTCTATGGATGAGGATGAAGTGCGGCGATTGCACTGCGATTGTTCTTTCGCTTGGCTCAGGAATTTTCTCAAGACCCATGCGTATCTCACGTCATCGAAAGGGAAAGAAGATGTCTTCAGTGTGGCGAGCTACATATCGCCAGATACAAGCGGCCGTGGCAGTAATTATTCAGACAGTCTCAGTGTCGATTGTAAAGGGAATTTTACTCTGGATAATTTGCAAACTGGGACGGAATTCTCCTATAATACTGGCTGCTACAATCTGACGTGTTAAACTCTGATCGACTTGCATGTGTTCGCTTTTGAACCCTAAACGCAACACTTTACCGGCAATCGACTTATTCGTTTGATCAACGATTGATAAAACGCTTTGTTGACTTTTTGACTAAAACCTAAATCGTGTTCGTATCATATTCGCAAGCCGAACATATTTGTATCAGTTTATCGCTAGGAACAAAGTGCTGCTGCATCTTGGATAATATTACTAGCAATACGAGTATTGTTTTTTTTTAGCATTGTGCAGTGGCTGCAGAAAAATAACGAGTGGCATACAGGATGAGGGGACCAGGCTACAGCGCAGCATGTCATTAAGGCATTAATCCAGTCATGGAGTCACATGTAACGGAAAGGCATAGCGCATACCGGTCTTACTCGCTTACTTAATAATATTCATGGAATCCATAAAGTCTAAATCCCTGAGGGTTTTCTTGCACGGAACTAGCATCGTCGGCGTTGAAAGCAACGCGAAGATATAAATACGACTCTATTAAACGAATATGTTTATTTCAACATGCGCATGGCAGACCATCCGTCTTCGTGTGCAGCAACGCCAACTTTAAGCAGGTTCAAGAGTACCGCTCCTAAATGTAACAATAGATGCTTCCAATCTTTGTTAACATTCCGTATTTTCTGGAGCGCTTTATCAGGATCTAAATTCCAAACCTTCGGCTACACGCTGCATCAAATGCGGCAAGAAGTGCAACTAATCGTTCTGGTAACATGCATTCTTTCAGCATGTCCCGCTTTGAATTCGGCAGGTAAGTGAGCAATGAGGGTTTTGGTTGTAATTCAAATTATTGTAGCGTAAATTATTCTTACAATGAAAAATGCTGCAGAAGTATTTAGAAACGGTCTTACAGATCTAAACGAAGGACTGGAAACCGAGTGCACTAAACAAGAGGCGACTCTCGAGCCGGTCAAAATCGAGCCCGAACCGTGTTTTCCGCCGAACGGGTTCCGTCTGGACAACCTAACACTGGCAGAATGCAATGAATATGCCCAACTACCCAATACACGCTGTAGTCCTGTTCGTCCTGAACGCGGCTGCACCGCACCCGAAACCTTTATGTTCCATCCGCGACACCATAGTTATATTTTTCTGACCTGCGCATCTGACGATAATATTACCGCTATGGGTACCATGTGAGCCGCATTAGTCCAGAGCGTGCTGTTGTGCTGATGCTCGCGGATGGCGATGATACAAAAACACAACTGCAGTGCAGTGTCGTAGATCCCATCCGTCAGCAGTTTTTCGGCCTACAGGTATTCAGTTGTTCGACGCCCTACACCACCGCCAAGGGTTACCACCTCGGGGACCTGATGAATTTGCTGGACTGCTCATATACGGTTGTTCAGGCTTGATCGTTCACACGCAGGATTTTCAGCGTATCCCGCGCGTACGCCAAATCGCGTTCCGGTGGACCAGTCTAAAATCCATAGAGCCGTACACCTTCACCACATTACCGCATCTGAGCAGTTTGATACTGGAGGGCATGATCGCCTGGAATCTGGCGAATCGCCTTGAATGGGAAGACAAGAACGCGTCGAGTTCGGAAATGTTTAAATTAGAGGAAATCGGCCAGCTGCACTGTGATTGCTCTTTTGCGTGGCTCCGAAATTACCTCAAGACCCACGCGTACCTCACCGCACAGAAAAATGAGGAGAAGTCTTCAGTATGGGGACTTTCGTATCGGAAGTTGTCAGGGGCCACGCCGGGAATTTTTCAGACATTCTCAGCGTTGATTGTCAACGGAATTTTACGCAGGGTAATTTACTAGCCGGCAGTGAATTTTCCTACCATAGTGGCTGCTACAATCTGACATGCAGCACTATGGTCCTCTCCATAGAGTCTGGTTTCTCTTTGACCATGTAAAAGCAATACATTATCGACAATCAGCTAATGATGATTTCGGTCTTCATTCTCTAATCGAAATAGATAAAACCCAGCATTAGCTGGCTTTACACAATTAACAACGTTACAGTCGTATTTGTAATTCTGTAATTAACCGGTCATATTTGTTTTGAAAACCAATACGAGTTAGTTCAAAATACTACTCAACCAGCATAAAAACACTCGCATGATTTCAGAAGCGCATATCAGGGTCATGCGTGCTCCAGTACAGCGGCTTCTGTTCAGTTACTAATCTTGCAATAAAACATAAGCCATCAGATTTTGGTATAAATATTAAAATCACCTTGCTGGTGCAGTCGTCACTGTGCAGCACGGCAACGGCACGGCAGAAAAACTGCAGAGCGCTGTCAGTGAACCCAATCGACAGCAGACAACCGGCAAAATTTCCTTGAATATAGTAACTACGCTTTCGAAAAGCCGATGTATCTGTAATAAATTGCATTTCATTCACAACGCAGAAAATGCAGCACTATAAATACAGCCGCAAAAATATTGAATGCAGAAATAATGACCATCCGTTCCTGATTCCATGCACTATCGACAGACACAGATTATATAAACAGAAGTTGTCAGTTAACTAACGTATGGACGCGTTGTTATGAATACTTCGAAGCACATATACCGGCGTTCAGAATAACTGGAAATGTCCAAAGGTTGAAAAGACATTCATGGAACCTTCGTGTGCATTGGGAACGAAATCCGCCACGCTTGATGTACACTTATCAGAATTACGACATCATCGTACGACCCATCAGGAAACTACTCGTTCGAATTACTGTATTTACCATATTTCTTATGGTGTCTTTAGGCCTCAAGGCATTGTTCTCTAAGTCTAGACGGTAAGAATATGCACAATACTGCAGTGAGCCGCACATATGCACATATGCGAATGTGCACAATACGTACTGCAGTGCAATACTGCAGTTTCGCCACGGTGATGTACAGTTATCAGAATAACGACATCATCATACGACCCATCAGGAAACTACTCGTTCGAATTACTGTATTTACCATATTTCTTATGGTGTCTTTAGGCCTCAAGGCATTAATCTCTAAGTCTAGACGGTAAGAATATGCACAATACTGCAGTGAGCAATTCTTTTCTTGTGGCATAAGTGAGTGTTTCTTCTTCGAAGTGTCGAACTGCGAGTAATTAATTGAAGTTTGCGTTTACTCGCTAACTTGTTTTAACGATGCGAGAGAAACGCCGGCAAGAGCTGCTCTCTCTTTCTGCACAGGATTTCAATGATTAGCCGCCGGACTTTGAGCGAGCCGACGGATTCTTTCTCCTCCTTCCTGGAATATACCACCGGCATGTCTGCCAGCGAATCGCCTGCCTTTCCTGTTTGCGTACGGTGTGCAAACTGCCATTTCACCAACGGACCACCTAGCCGTCAGTTCCATCTCATGCTAGCCTACTTGCATTTATCGAATTTGTGTGTTTCGGTATGTGCGAGCTTTTCGCATGTTATCCTCATTTTTTGTGTTGTCAGAATTGGATGTTGATCATTGAAAGTTGACGTTGGTAATTTTCCTGTTACCCGCCTTCCCAACCCTTAAGCAATCAAGTTTTGTTTTGCTGGCTTCATCAGTTATATGAGCACTATTGTGAAACTCATTAAAGGTCATCCCTCACTCGCGCTGCTCTCTCGCTATGGTACGCACAGAACCGCACCGGAAGGCAGCCGCAACATCCTGGCCACGGATCAGGATCCATCACACTCCCTGGCCACGAATCGGGGGTCACCTGGCCACGCACCAGGTGGCACTGCTCGCGATAACACGTATACGCTCCTTCCGGTGGCCGAGCATGTTCTGACGTTTTCCACGAGACTCCGCGGCCGAGCCGAGGCTGGCCATATGCCCCAAAAACCCATGCCGGCGTTTCTCGAATACATCGTTAACAGTGTCAGTCGCCAACGGATGACGTATTCTGTATAATATTAACAGTTATTTTCTGAGCCAGTGTTCTGTGTGCAGGCCTGTCTTTAGCTTTTTGGAAGGGGGGTGCGCAAAACCTCGCGCCAGCTGCGCCAGTTGGGAAATGGCCGAAAATTTGTTCAAGAAAAACGTAGAAAAGTGTCTCAAAAAAGCCACTTTTCTACGGTTTTCTATTGTAATTTTCGTTCCGCCAGCGCCAGTGCGCCCGCGCCAGTCGCATTTCTTGCGCCAGCGCTAGCTCCCGGCACACCTTTTTCCCGTTTTCTCCCTCCGGGATGGGGGGGGGGGCGCCAGCGCACCTCCCTTCTTAAAGACGGACCTGACTGTGTGCATTTTGGCGAAGTCAAACCCCACATTTCTTTGATGTAATTTCATTTTTGCTATTAGTGGCCTTTTTTGGGTATGCTTCTCCACGCATTTATTAGGTAACCGATCATTTATTGAACCTAGGTGACGTCCAAAGTGTCGCAGCTTTGTATCAAAATATTCTGCAGCAAAACGTGAAAGCTTTGTAGTATTATTGTAGGTCACAAAGAAAATCTTGAAACAGAATGCACTACACAAGAGCAAACCGACTAACAGCAAACTGCCATCGCACCCGAACTATACCTCCCGGGCGGTGGGTTCCGTCTCGACCGACTAAGCGCGGCGGAATGTATCCAGTATGTCATGCTACGTGATTATTATTGTAGTCCTGTCCATTCTCTAGAACTACCCTACTGCACCGCCCAAGCGACTCCGGACTACGATCCTTTCGAAACCTATCTTGAGGTGGCATGCGACGAAAGCCGCTTGGTGGCCGCAGCAGCCGCAAACATCCGCCGCATAAGTTCTCGACGCGCCGTCGTCCTTGCCCTTTCCGACGGAAACGGCACAGAAGACACACTGAAAGCCAGTGTCGTGGAACCCATTCGTCAGCAGATAATCAGTCTGAGCGTGGGCGGTTGTGCCACGCCCTATACGACGGCCAAAATTCACCGCCTTGGCGACCTGATAAATCTGTTGGGCATTCGAATTAATCATTGCTCGGGATTGATCGTCCGCACGCGGGATTTCCAGCGGATGCCGCGCGTACGCCAAATTGTCTTTCGCTTGTCGAGTATACAGTTTCTCGAGCCGTACACTTTCACAACACTGGTGCATCTGCGCAGCCTGGTGTTGGAGAGCTATGTCAGTGTGGATATGGTGCACCACGAAGAGCGGGATAAGATGAATGAGGAAGTTGATCTGCCTCTTCCACCTAATTTAAAGTATTATGAGTTGGAGGAAGTGTACCGGCTGCATTGTGACTGCTCCTTCGCGTGGCTTCGAAACTTCTTC